AAATGAAACCACAAAAATATTTTATCAAATTATGTATAAACATGTATCAATTGTAAACATTAGTATTGTCCATAACATTTAAAACATGTGTGAAATAATTAGAAAGCGATATTGGTGTGTGGCTACATGTTCTGCAACACGTATATGTGGAGTGTAGTAAAGAACAAATATGAGGTTATATATGAACATAAGAATGGAGGAAATTGCAGCGGGCCTATTGGCCCATACTGGGCAGTCCCGTTTACACCCAACCGCTATTGCTCATATAAGCATCCAACCTATGTTTGAAGGGTAAACAAAAATTGTGTGTTATACTTACACTTACGTATAGAAATAATTATTTAATCGCGATTACTTACTAAAACTACTTGCATATAATTTAGTTATGATGCTGATGCATCAAACTTCATCTTTTTATCTCAAATAACAAGCTTGCAATGACTCATTACATACAATTCTCTCTCGGATGATACATTCAAACGCACTGAGATTAGTGACTAGCCAGACCCCAAGAGTCTCACAGCACCTCCCTAAACCCTAGAGCGCTAGGAAACGATTCACAAACCGCTATTATGTATTGAAGTAAAAAGTAGTATGATCGAGAACCGAGATCTTTCCATTTGCTGCTAAAAACGAAAGAAAGGAAGCCGCAGGTCGGGAGGCAGCATCACCCGCCAGAGCACTTACACAAAATTGTATATCTTATGAATAATGTAAAATTGATAAGTGCTATTAAGTAAATCTTGAGACTGGGTTAATACGGGGGAATGTAATGAATATCTATCTGAATACAATGAATATTAAGGCTGATCTAAATTAAAATTATTTAATAAAACACTATCCCATAATGTAAATTTCCCCGGGCGATGTTGCAAAGATCCAGCCTTCACCTAGAATTTATTATTATGAAAGAACTAAACAGTTAATTGACTGGATTAGAGTTACAAATAATCGTGTTAACATAAGAGCCATATAATCATAATACCGTTCTCGTATCTAAGGGTTGGCGACCACAGTCCACCACTCTAAACGTTCTCGGGCTGTTTTTACCAATCCTCTAAGGTTTTGTAACTCTCTGGAGACCCAGTTTTTAATTTAATTCATCCATCCTAATCTCTGCCTTCCCCTGCCTCTCCTACCCTCAACTTTACCCATTAATATTTCTGTTATTATCCCCTCATCCCTAATTATATGACCAAAGTATCAATTTTATCTTTTTTTTTCTATGCATTTTAAGTATTTCTCTTGACGTTTTTGCTAATCTTTGTACTTCTTCATTTGTTTTCCTGTCAGTGTAGCTTATTCTTAGCTCGCTTATAACACCACATTCCAAAGGCCTCCAACCTCTGTCTGGTGTTTGCTGTAAGTGTCCACGCTTCTGACCCATACATCAGTCCTTGTCATATAAAGCCTCTCAGTAGCCTTATTGTCAAGTTTAAGTTAATGACCCTTTTCATTATGGCTTTTCGATTATTAAATGCTGTTTTTGCTTGTTTTAATTTTTTCTGTACATCTACCATCATAACTTATGTTACTTCCCAAACACATAAAATTTTCCAATTGTTTAAGTTCCCTATTGCCCACCATGATTTTTATTTTAAAATTTATTTCAAATTTGAAAAGAACCATGACTTTTGTCTTTACACCATTAACTCTCAACACATATTTGTTAACTTTTTCCACTGTAAAGCATATATTTGATATTACTTTACCATTAACTTCTAGTCCTTCATTATCACTTATAACTTCTCTCATTAAGAATTCTGAACATATATTATACAATGATGAAAATAGAACACAGACTTGTCTTAGTCCCTGTCTTACTGCGAACCAGTTAGTAAGTTCATTATTTACTAACACTGTAGCCTCCTGTTGTCAGTAAAGAATCCTTAAAATTCTAACATCTCTTTCATTAATATTTATTTTTCCATTATCTCTAAGTTAATTGTGATTTACCTTAACAAAAGATTTTATCAAAATCAATAAAGCATATGTACAAATTTCTTTAGACCTCTAAAGCCATATCCTCAAAATTCCCAAACCAAAATTAACATAGCTTCTTTAGTTCCTTTTCTCTTTCTCAATTCATTTTGCTCTTCAGATAAATCGCTTTCTATTCTAAACTTTATTGTACTTAAAGTTATGTTGAATCAATTATAGCAGATAGCATCCGATCGCATTTAGAGAAAAGCAAATTTATCTACGACTCTCAACATGGATTTACAAAGAGAAAATCTTGTCTAACAAATCGGCTGACGTTTTTTAGGAAAGTTTTCGAGATAGTAAATAATGACTAAAATTACGATGTTATTTACTTAGACTTTAGCAAAGCGTTTGACAGAGTACCGCATCAGAGGCTTCTGAGAGCAGTTAAGGCTCATGGTATCGAGGGGAAAGTTTTAAATTGGATAAAATCATGGCTCACCGATAGAACACAGAGGGTCAGCGTAGATGGTGTTAAATCTGAGCGGGGCTGTGTAACTAGTGGGGTTCCCCAGGGGTCAGTATTGGGCCTACTCTTGTTCATAATCTACATAAACGATCTAGATACTGGGATCAGCAGTGACATAAGCAAGTTTGCGGATGACACCAAAATAGGGCGGCAGATTAATCCAGGGCAGGATGTAAATGCACTATAGGAGGATTTAAATAAACTGCAGGAGTGGTCAGAAAAATGGCAAATGAAATTCAACACCAGCAAGTGCAGCGTTCTTAATATTGGAAGAACAAATACTGACAATGTATACAGCCTTAACAACATCAACGTCGAGAAGTCGACTTGTGAAAGAGACTTAGGGGTATTTGTAAGCCCGGACCTACGGCCTAGAAAACAGTGCGTTAATGTTCGAAATAAGGCAAACAGAGTATTAGGTTTTATATATCTTGCGCTAGTCAGGCCTCACCTCGATTATGCTGTTCAGTTCTGGTGCCCTTATTATAGAATGGATATCAATTCACTGGAGTCGGAGCAGCGAAGAATGACGAAAATGATTCCGGGACTTAGAAGCCTTCCATATCAAGATAGGTTAAAGAAACTAAATTAGCATTCCCTAGAAAAACGAGGAATACGGGAGATATGGTAGAAGTATTTAAGTGGGTGAAAGGAATCAATAAAGGGGATATAGATAAAGTTCTTATAATATCCAAGCAGGATAGGACTCGGAGCAACGGATTCAAGTTGGATAAGTTTAGGTTTAGGAGGGAGATAGGAAGAAACTGGTTCACAAATAGGGTGGTGGACGAGTGGAACAAGCTTAGCAATTTTGTAGTAAGTGCTGAAACGCTGGAAAGTTGTAAAAGGAGGCTAGATAGATTCATGGTTGATAGAGAGTGGTAGTAACTCTCGACAGGAGCTGCCGTGCACAGGCCAACCGGCCTGTTGCAGATTCCTTATTTTCTTAGGTTCTTCTGTTCTTATTATTACGCTTATTGTTCTAAACTGGGTGCAGTCAAGGATCCTGGCTTTTTTAGGCAGGGGCGTAGGTCAGTCAACCCGGCCCCAGGATTCGGCACATTTATAGGGTGTTGAGTGCAGGTAAATGAATAAAAAGAGACCAACAATGTCCTGGCAATTTTTTTTAATGAAACAAAAAAAAATGCAAAAAAATTTTGAATGTATTTATCTGATAGCATCACATAATAATAAATTTTTAGATTCAGAGATTTAAAAAATAAAATACATATATCAAATAATACGCCAACAATTCGTATAATCGACTCACGAACAAAATGGACACAGCAGAAGCCTTTAATTAACTATTTTATTCAAACAGAAGTCGAGTTTAGCTGCTATTCAAAATGCATTCTTCGGCCCTTACGGTTAGCAAACAAATAAATAATGTTATTAAAAATAATTATTTTTTGCCAAACGAGCCTCTATTGCCAAAACACCTAACTGCTTAGTCGACTGACACAGTTGATCTCAGTACATTTTTTACTCTTCCCAGAATACTGAAGAAGCGTTCTGTTCTGCATCCATAACTGGAAGAGTGCAAAATATTCTCAGCGCAGTGCATGCATTTAGAAATAAGCCATTTACATTTTTGCCATATAAACTGTTAAGTAATTGAAACGGTGGTAAGTCCTTTTCAAAATTTGCTGAATGAATACATTTTAAATGTTGTTATTGGTCTACTAGCCCCTCAGACACACCTGTGTTACATTTACTACACAGGTTTCAAACTTTTTCTTTTATATCATCAACACTCATTACAGGATATTTCCACAAAACACTGACATTTGACTCTAGTTCTCTCACTGCCTCATCTTTCCGATATTGCAATCCAGAAGAACGTAAAAACAAAAAAACAAAAAAAACTGTTCTCGAATTGATTTTTGAACGTGTATCTGTCAATTCATTGCTATTTGTTTCGTCTGTAGACCTCTTCCTAACCTTTTACAGAATTTTACAGATATTTCAGGGTTTTTCAGGTTTATTATATTTAAATAATAATTGGGTTTTCGGTTAATTTATAATATTTATAAGGGTTTAGGCACGACCCGCTGGGAAACACCCGCCCTGCCCTCTTTTTAGGTAAGACAACATTTTTTTTTAATCATTGGGATTGTCCCTTTTAAGTATACAGAATTACATATTTTAGTAAAAAATTTGATCTCATTTGTTACCATTTGTTTTATAAATTGTGCTGGAAGCTCATCAACCCCACAAGCATTCTTATTTTTCATTTTGCTCACAGCTGCCTCAACTTCTGTAATCAGAAATGACAATTCGATCTTTATTTCCTTGTCGTTTCTTAACTCTACCCAATCCTTATCATAGTATAGTTCTTTTGTGTATTCTGAGTGAAAAAATAGAACTACTAAAAAATGTTAAGAGTACCTAGTAACCCTATGCAGGAGCCGGTAAGATAATAGGAAAGGAGAACAAAGCGTGTGAAGAATAGGATAAATACGGCAATAACTATTGAATAATCGAGTTGCCATAATTAGTGTGATCCAAACAATAATGAATTTAATTAATATTGTGTTACGGTTTACAGGGTGATCGTGTCCTTCTGGAGTTACCTGAATATTAAGAAGCGAACCTTAAAACACATAGCTGTATTCCGTCCATCCTCCTTCAGAACCAACGGTGATTACTGTCTCTTGTGGTTCATGTATGAGTCTGTCTCTTGTGGTAATGGTGGTTCATGTGTGAGTGTGTCTCTTGAGGTAATAGTGGTTCATGTGTGAGTGTGTCTCTTGTAATAGTGGTGGTTCATGTGTGAGTGTGTCTTTCGTGGTTCATGTGTGAGTGTGTCTCTTGTGGTACTGGTGGTTTACGTGTGAGTGTGTCTCTTGGGGTAGTGGTGGTTCATGTGTGAGTGTATCTCTTGTGGTAGTGGTGGTTCACGTGTGAGTGTGTCTCTTGTGGTAGTGGTGGTTCATGTGTGAGTGTGTCTCTCATGGTAGTGGTGGTTCATGTGTGAGTGTTGAACTTCTCTTGTGGTGGTGGTGGTTCATGTGTTAGTGTGTCTCTGTGGTTCATGAGAGTGTGTTCCTGTGGTTCTATGTTGGTGTCGCTTGTGGTAGTGGTGGTTCGTGTGTGAGTGTGTCTCTTTTGGTAGTAGTGGTTCATGTGTGAGTGTGTCTCTTGTGGTAGTGGTGGTTCAGGTGTGAGTGTATCGCTGGTAGTTCATGTGTGGGTGTGTCTCTTGTGGTAGTGGTGGTTCATGTATGAGTGTGTCTCTAGTGGTAGTGATTGTTCATGTGTGAGTGTGTCTCTTGTGGTTCATGTGTGAGTGTGTCTCTTTGTGGTCATGTGTGAGTGTGTCTCTTGTGGTTCATGTATGAGTGTGTCTCTTTGTGCTTCATGTTTGAGAGAGTAGAAAGTGGTCTTGTGATTCATGTGTGAGTGTGTTCTGTGTTGTGGTGGTTCATGTGTGAGTGTGTCTTTGTATTTCATGAGTAAGTGTGTCTTGTGATAGTGGTGGTTCATGTGTCAGTGTGTCTCTTATATTTCATGTGTGAGTGTGTCTCTTGTGGTAATGGTGGTTCATGTGTGAGTTTGTCTCTTGTGCTTCATGTGTGAGAGAGTCAGTTGTGGTAGTGGTGGTTCATGTGTGAGTGTGTTTCTTGTGGTAGTGTTGGTTCATGTGTGGGTGTGTCTCTTGTGGTATTGGTGCTTCATGTGTGAGTGTGTCTCTTGTGGTAGTGGTGGTTCGTGTGTGAGTGTGTCTTTTGTGGTAGTGGTGGTTAATGTGTGAGTGTGTCTCTTGTGGTAGTGGTGGTTCATTTGTGAGTGTGCATCTTGTGGTATTGGTGGTTCATTTGTGAGTGTGTTTCTTGTGGTTCATTTGTGAGTGTGTCTCTTTTATTTCATATGTGAGTGTGTCTCTTGTGATTCATGTGTGAGTGTGTTTCTTGTCATAGTGGTGGTTCATGTGTGTGTGTGTCTCTTGTCATAGTGGTGGTTCATGTATGAGTGTGTCTCTTGTGCTACATGTGTGAGAGTGTCAGTTGTGGTAGTGGTGGTTCATGTGTGGTGTGTCTCTTGTCATAGTGGTGGTTCATGAGTGAGTGTGTCTCTTGTGCTACATGTGTGAGAGTGTCAGTTGTAGTAGTGGTGGTCCATGTGTGAGTGTGACTCTTGTAGTAGTGGTGATTCATGAGTGAGTTTGTCTCTTGTGGTACTGGTGGTTCATGTGTGAGTGTGTCTCTTGTGGTAGTGGTGGTTCATGTGTGAGTGTGTCTCTTGTCATAGTGGTGGTTCATGAGTGAGTGTGTCTCTTGTGCTACATGTGTGAGAGTGTCAGTTGTAGTAGTGGTGGTCCATGTGTGAGTGTGACTCTTGTAGTAGTGGTGATTCATGAGTGAGTTTGTCTCTTGTGGTACTGGTGGTTCATGTGTGAGTGTGTCTCTTTTGGTAGTGGTGGTTCATGTGTGAGTGTCTCTTGTGGTTCATGAGTGAGGTGTGTGTCTCATGGTACAGGTGGTTCATGTGAGTGTGTCTCTGTGGCATTGGTGGTTCCTTATGAGTGTGTCTCTATTGGTTCATGAGTGAGTGTGTCTCTTGTGGTAGTGGTGGTTCATGTGTGAGTGTATTCTGTGGTAGAGGTGGTTGCGTGTGAGTGTCTTTTGTGGTCTGTAGTGTTTCTTTGTGTAGTGGTGGTTCATGTGTGAGTGTGTCTCTGTGGTAGTGGAGGTTCATGTATGAGTGTGTTCTTGTGCTCATGTGTGAGAGTGTCAGTTGTGCTTAGTGGTGGTCTATGTGAGTGCGTCTCTTGTGGTAGTGTTGGTTCATGTGGTGTGTCTCTGTATTGGTGCTTCATGTGTGAGTGTGTCTCTTGTGGTAGTGGTTCTGTGTGAGTGTGTATTTTGTGGTAATGGTGGTTCATGTGTGAGTGTGTCTCTTGTGTATGTCTGTGTGTGTGTGTGTGCCTTTTGTAGTGGTGGTTCATGTGTGAGTGTGTCTGTAGTAGTGGTGGTCTATGTGTGGAGTGTGTCTTTGGGTTCATGTGTGACTGTGTCTTGTGTTTGTGGGTTCATGCGTGAGTGTGTCTCTTTGTGGTAGTGGTGGTTCATGTGTGAGTGTGTTCTTGGGCTTCATGTGAGAGGTTCTCTTGTGGTAGTGGTGGTTCATGTGTAAGTGTATCTCTTGTGGTAGCGGTGGTTCATGTGTAAGTGTGTGCCTTGTGGTAGTGGTGGGTTAATGTGTGTGTGTCTGTGGTAGTGGTGGTTCATGTGTGAGTGTTCTTGTGGTTCATGTTTGAGAATGTCAGTTGTGATAGTGGTGGTTCATGTGTGAGTGTGTCTCTTGTGGTAGTGGTGGTCTGTGTGAGTGCGTCTCTTTGTGGTAAGTTGGTTCATGTGTAAGTGTGTGCCTTGTGGTATTGTGGTGGTTCGTGTGAGTGTGTCTCTTGTAGTGGTGGTTCGTGTGTGAGTGGGTATTTTGTGGTTCATTTGAGAGTGTGTCTCTTTTATTTCATGTGTGAGTGTGTCTCTGATTCATGTGTGAGTGTGTCAGTTGTGGTAGTGGTGGTTCTGTGTGAGTGTGTCTCTTGTAGTAGTGGTGGTTCATGAGTGAGTGTGTCTCTTGTGCTACATGTGTGAGAGTGTCAGGGTAGTAGTGGTGGTCCATGTGTGAGTGTGTCTCTTGTAGTAGTGGTGGTTCATGAGGAGTGTGTCTCTCTGTGCTACATGTGTGAGAGTGTCATTTGGGTAGTGGTGGTTCATGGGAGTGTGTCTCTTGTAGTAGTGGTTCATGAGTGAGTGTGTCTCTTGTGCTAGCGTGTGAGAGTGTCAGTTGTAGTAGTGGTGGTCACAGTGAGTGTGTCTCTTGTAGTAGTGGTGGTTCATGTGTGAGTGTGTCTCTTGTGCTACATGTGTGAGAGTGTCAATTGTAGTAGTGGGTCCATGTGTGAGTGTGTCTCTGTAGTAGTGGTGGTTCATGTGTGAGTGTGTCCTTGTGCTACATGTGTGAGAGTGTCAGTTGTAGTAGTGGTGGTCCATGTGTGAGTGTGTTCTTGTAGTAGTGGTGGTTCATGAGTGAGTGTGTCTCTTTGTGCTACATGTGTGAGAGTGTCAGTTGTAGTAGTGGTGGTCCATGTGTGAGTGTGTTCTCTTGTAGTAGTGGTGGTTCATGTGTGTGTGTTCTTGTGCTACATGTGTGAGAGTGTCAGTTGTAGTAGTGGTGGTCCATGTGTGAGTGTGTCTTCTTGTGCTACATGTGTGAGATGTCAGTTGTAGTAGTGGTGGTTCATGTGTGAGTGTGTCTTGTGCAATGTGAGAGTGTCGTTGTAGTAGTGGTGGTCCATGTGTGAGGTGTTCTCTAGTAGTGGTCATGTGTGTGTGTTCTGCTACATGTGTGAGAGTGTCAGTTGTGGTAGTGGTGGTTCATGTGTGAGTGTGTCTCTTGTGTGGTGGTTCATGTGTGTGTGTGTCTCTTGTGCTACATGTGAGAGTGTCAGTTGTGGTAGTGGTGGTTCATGTGTGAGTGTGTCTCTTGTAGTAGTGGTGGTTCAAGAGTGAGTGTGTCTCTTGTGCTACATGTGTGAGAGTGTCAGTGGTGTAGTGGTGGTCCATGTGTGAGTGTGTTCTCTTGTAGTAGTGGTGGTTCATGGTGAGTGTGTCTCTTGTGGTACTGGTGGTTCATGTGTGAGTGTGTTCTCTTTGGTAGTGGTGGTTCATGTGTGAGTGTCTCTTGTGGTTCATAGTGGAGGTGTTGTCTCTTGTGGTACAGGTGGTTCATGTGTGAGTGTGTCTCTTGTGGCATTAGTGGTTCATGTATGAGTGTGTCTCTATTGGTTCATGAGTGAGTGTGTCTCTTGTGGTAGTGGTGGTTCATGTGTGAGTGTGTCTCTTGTGGCATTAGTGGTTCATGTATGAGTGTGTCTCTATGGTTCATGTGTGAGTGTGTCTCTTGTGGTAGAGGTGTTTCATGTGTGATGTCTTTGTGGTTCATGTGTGGTGTCTCTTGTGTTAGTGGTGGTTCATGTGTGAGTGTGTCTCTTGTGGTAGTGGAGGATCATGCGTGAGTGTGTCTCTTGTGCTTCATGTGTGAGAGTGTCAGTTGTGGTTAGTGGTGGTTCATGTGTGAGTGCGTCTCTTGTGGTAGTGTTGGTTCATGTGTGGGTGTGTCTCTTGGTATTGGTGCTTATGTGTGAGAGTGTCAGTTGTAGTAGTGGTGGTCCATGTGTGAGTGTGTCTGTGCTACATGTGTGAGAGTGTCAGTTGTGGTAGTGGTGGTTCATGTGTGAGTGTGTCTCTTGTAGTAGTAGTGTGGTTCATGAGTGAGTGTGTCTCTTGTGCTTCATGTGTGAGAGTGTCAGTTGTGGTTAGTGGTGGTTCATGTGTGAGTGCGTCTCTTGTGGCAGTGTTGGTTCATGTGTGGGTGTGTCTCTTGTGTGTGGTGCTTCATGTGTGAGAGTGTCATTGTAGTAGTGGTGTTCCATGTGTGAGTGTGTCTCTTGTGCTATGTGGAGAGTGTCAGTTGTAGTAGTGGTGGTCCATGTGTGAGTGTGTCTCTTGTGGTAGTGGAGGATCATGTGTGAGTGTGTCTCTTGTGCTTCATGTGTGAGAGTGTCAGTTGTGGTTAGTGGTGGTTCATGTGTGAGTGCGTCTCTTGTGGTAGTGTTGGTTCATGTGTGGGTGTGTCTCTTGTGTGGTGCTTCATGTGTGAGTGTGTTCTCTTGTGGTAGTGGTGGTTCGTGTGA